AATACTGAATACTGAGGAGCTGTACAATGATGCAGGACTTATATACAGTTAGAACCAGAATGTAGTTAAAGTCACAGAACTTAAGAAAGGAAAGTCTAAGTCACATGTCGTAGATGGATTCTTAGAACAATGACTGTGAATGAATAATTTCACCTTAAAACAAAGTCCTTGGTGGATGATAGTACAAACTTAAATGAAGCATGCTGAAGCCTCTGGGCTAACAAGGTCAAATAGGCGGAAGCAATATACACTGTACCAGACACTGGGTGGGTGTACTCTTACAAGGAAAATGCAGTGAGTAATGTGTCTAAGAAATGGCCAACAGGATATATACAGGAAATGAAAAAGTTATCAGAGTTAAAAATGAAGATTCTGAATGCTAAATTCACTAAAAGAAATAAATGCAAATAATTCAAGTGATTGTGCAGAAAATGCTACAGCATCATGTTACATGGGACCTTGTTCACTCCTATCCCTGATGAAGATTCAAACCATTCATGGACAAACTGAAAACAGCCCATGTAAGAATCATATCAGGTGATTTTGCAAGAGGGTGCTGTGACAAATTCAGTGATATGCATTACCATTTCCCTGTTCAAGATAAGTCCCAGGTGGTTGAAAAATCATTTTTTTGCTTTTTGTGGGCATCCGTGAACACAAAAGTTTAACACGTCAGTGAGTCAATGTTTCCTATTAGATCTATCAATACAAATCACCCATGTCCAAATTACTGAATACTGCATTTTTTTTAATACTGAACAATACCGACTAATAATCAATGAATACCAGAATATCGGCTAATTTGGTATTGAATTTCAATACTGCGGTATTCTGGCTAATTTGTTCAGAATGTTCCCACAACCCTCTTAAGATGAAAGCAGACAATTATATCCATAACAGTGACTGCCTACTTTGTGGTTTCAGTTACCCAGGATCGTGTTTGTATTGTCTCTTTTGCTGGAAGCTAAGACATAACGTGATACTTCAGCTTACAGCCATCAACCCACCAGTCAAAATAGATTTGTTTTGCTATTGCAGCCATTGAGCTTGTGGTTTTGGAATAGCTTGCAGACAGTGCTTGTTGTATTGCTCACCGGCACATATCACAGCCTAACAGCTTGGAAATTAAAAATTAGCGTGTCTTCTCTGTCCGCACTGGACTTTATTTTCCGAGGATTTTATTGGAGGATCAGAAAATGCGAATGCTGCTTGTGTTAGCCTTGTGTTCTCTTCAGGTCTTTTTTGTCCTTCGTATAAAGTATGTACAAGTATTGTGTCAAAATTTATCTAACCGAAGCCAGGAGTGTGTGTTATAAACTATAAAATGATTCCATAAATCTGCATCCATTCGAAATCCACAGCAATCAACGATCTTTTTTATTGTTCTCACATTTGTTCCAATCACACGAAAAGAGATGCAAAAATCCAATCCTTCACTTGTCACTGCTTGTATTTCAGTTAGTCTGGAATAAATTGAGGACAACGTGGTTGATCAAAAAGATCTCTCGGTTATGATTAATCAAATACCTTGTGATGTGTTTAAAATAATAAACTTCACTCTTATAGGACAACATGTTTAATGTGCATGTGAAATTTAAAAAAACAAATATGTGTGAAAGTTTCGACTATCGATCCAGGGATTTTTAAAAGACTTTCAATTGCCATGGATGACGACTAAACTAACAGTAACTGAACTGCATGCACATGTAGGCCTGGATGTACCTGCAAGAGTGTGAAGGCTCATCAACTAAAGCCCTTATCCATGTAAGTGGTCTTTCCAACACAAATTTTGTCACAGAGAGACATTTATATCTAATTTTCCGTCTGTCCTTAGCTGCATCAGCCTGCATGACAAGATTGATCGATAGTCCATATTCACTCGCCCACTGCGGCGCGGCGCGACCGCCCGCGAGTGAGATGGTCACTGAGGAAGCATGACGTCATGAAGGAATATTGTGATTGGATAGCTGTGTCTTTCCAAATGTACGTCATGAAAACACAGTCTCATTGGAAGGTATGCTAGATCTTTTTGCAGCAATATGAATAACTCAGTGTTGGGCAATTAGTTGGACTCTTTGAGTTGCAAGAATAGTGAAGCGAACTTATTTGGGGCATTTTTTTATCGGAAATGAGGTGGGAATTTTCATTTTGCCGTTTGTGTAATCAATGTAAAATATCACTGATTTTTAATTGTGCACTAGGCGTGTCGTGACAACAGGAAACTGGCAAATGATGCCTGTATATCGCGTTGTAAGCGTGCGCGATGCATCTGGAGGGATGGGTGATAAGCCTCATGCTGTGGCTAGAAATTTTGTGGAAATGCACTCGCTTGAGTACAAGCAGTACAACCTCAAGTTGAATTTATGGACACAGAAAACACAAATATAGACATGAGATCAATTGTTGTGAATGAACCTGCAGAAGAATTGTGACGGCAGTGTTTTTTCGACTTGCAACTATAGAACTGCATTCAAGGTAGTGGAACGTACGAACCTTTTTGGCAAAAAGTGTACATTGACCGGTTGCCGCATTCCCATCATGCCTTCGTTGGCAACTGTTAGGCACGGCGGGAACCAGTGTGGTGCACAGCGCATGTGCTTTCACCACCATGAATTGCAAATGCTTTATAAATGGGTCGTCAACAATGGTTTTTCAGGCAATGGAGTCACAAAAACCTTTCGTTGTAACAAGAATTTCGTACAATGTGATTTCACTGTAACAGATTTTCTCCCAATAGAAATATGCATGTTTTGGCCAGGACCCCAGATTTGTGTTTGTTATAATCGGAATTTCGTTATAACTGATTTTGTAATAATGAGAGTCGACTGTACTTGCAATGCCGGCTGCGCCGCAGAGTTTTCTGGAAGCCATCTTACTATTGCACACAGGCAGTGTTAGGGCACAGCTAACAGGAGCAGCCACTGGTAACCGGCACGTAATCATTACAATAACGCACTCAGTGAGTACCAACTTGACTCTAGTACACATGTAGATTTTCACACCATACAAGTGACTACACAGATGGGAATCACAGAACAATGAAGTGGTATTTAAAACGCTGTTTGGTTTTATTCTTCTTTAACATAAATAATATTTATTTGACATCAAATGGACAGATAAATTATAAGAGTTATTAAGTTTAGGGGGCTTTGTGACATTAAAAACCCTTTATGCTGGCCCCTAGTGTTGTTTGTGGTGTGCCATTGAATGTCAGCATTGCCGCTGCTTTTGATGACGTCATTGCCTTCTGCAACCACGGTATTAGTAAATACTGTGGTATTTTTTTCATGGATACCGCGGCATTGAAAAATGCAATGCCACCCAAGCCTACCCTACCTTTAATACATACAGGACAAATGGGGAACTTTAAGGAGGACCTTTATGCGGATTCAATACCCTGGTGCACCTTCGACTACAAAAATAATTGAAATTTTTCTTAAATTATGGAACTTTTAAGTTAATTCAGAACAAGACAATACTTTGCATCATTTTGTTTCAGCTCATGAGTGTAATTCCCCCCCTTAATTTTGTTTCCCACAAACTGACCCTCATTCAATGCAAAAAATTCAGAATCAAGGCATGAAGAAAGGTCATCCTAAGGGAAATTATATTAGGTGATACTAGAACAGCAAACTACAACTTACAAGTGATGATTCTTGTACTCGGAAATGCTGGTAGGTAGAGGTTTGTCCTGAAGTTGTTCTGGAAAAAAAATAATTTGATGTACTTATTTATTAATACATCACTGCTGGTGAAAATAATTAATCCACTGCACTGATCCTACCCAAACAGTTGCTACTTTAGCAAATTTCCTTACACGCCTAGGCCTGTTGCCATTCGCTAAAAACTTCACAAAGCCCTCTAATACTATAACACAGCTCAGCTTCACCGCCATGTTTGTTCCTGTTTTTCTTAGCGCAATTGCTAATGGATGTGTCACTTTTAACATCTTTGAATTTGTTTAATTTTCCATTTCGCTATACATGTACCTTCTGTGGTAACCTGACCAACTGTAATGTATCATAAATAAACTCATTTTCATTATGCTGTGTGCATGTGTCATTCTCTTGACTTAAGTGAATTTGGTTGAATTTGTTGCGACGCACTTCTTTATCGTTCATATGTCTTTATTGTGTAACGTCACATTATCTGAATGTGTATGTCTCTTTTCTTGTGAGTGTGTTTAATTTGATTTGATAATTGTCAATATTTGGAAATTTGTTTTAAACTGAATGTAGAACATAATCACAATTATAATTACAAACTAACTATTACATCTTTACAATTTATCTATTACAATGGACATTCACAATAAAATTTTTTTATAAACAACCGCAATCAATAAAACAATACAAAAAAAACAATGGAAATGGCATTTAGCACAGTAGAACACCACTATACGCAACATTCGGCTGTCCTGAACATCGTCCTTGACTCCCAATATTTTGTGCACAAAACCTACCGAATACTACGCAGTTGCCGTTTGTAATTCCCAAATATCAACTTGATAAAAGAGTCGGCTTTTTTATGTCATAAAGTGACAAGTGGCCATCACTTCACCAAGGATTAGAAGGCAAAGCCACTAGTTGTTGAAGAGTTAATTGTAATTAACTGAGAAACTGGGTACATTGGTCTGCACTTGTTCAAAGTCGTATTCTAGTAATGGCCAGAGCATGCACAGTGAATCTGCCAACGGTATTGAATGGACACTGGCTTTGCAACTCTGCATGATCGGGTGCAAAAGAAAACCACATGCGCACGGTGGCATTGTACTAACATTAGTCTAAAGAGGGCGCCACTGATACACAAGTCACTGAGATTCGCCACAGAATGCATCAAAGATCAATCCTGATCAGTAGCTTCACAACTTCTAGGATAAACTTGAAATCATTTTTTGTAACTTAACATTAAATAAAAAACAAAAATAATTAACAGATAAATTTTCAGAAATCTTCATCGTGAATGCATCAGCAAAACACCACGAAAAAAGCAAACCGTAGAATCATAAGAGGGTGCATTTCAGTAAGACATGAGAGAGCACTTTTCAACATGGCAACAGTAAATTTTGCTATACCGAACAATCGCTGTACCGAACATTTAGTGTGGACCCTGTTGTGTTCATTATAGCGGCATTCCACTGTAGTGAAATCTCTTTCAATGGTAAGTAGTGAAATCTACTTATTTGCATCTTTTGTTTCAATAAGGCCAGTACATCATGCCCCCATCATCAAATTACCTGTACTACTGCCATTTAAATACTTCAAGGTAGTCCTACACTGAATCCAGGGGTTCCTTCTATTAAGTACCTTCATGGGGTCAACCGGGCAACTTTAATTTATTAACTCAAAAACAGTATGATTGAGGGAAGGTACAACCATTAAACCTGTATCTACTGTTGCGTTCCACCACTTAACTTGGGTGCTAACGTTAATCTCAGATACCCAGTTAGTGAGGGGTTTGCCACTGAGGGACACACAAGGCTGCCTTGGTCTTCCTGCTCGTGTCTGTTTGGCATACGGAGCCTACCTGAGTGGCACTTATCACCACAGCCTACCCAAGACGAACCACTCCACCACAAGTAATGGCTCACCAAGGCCCACAAGAGGCAAGCCCATGCCCCACCTGTTGACCCAAGTAGCCACTACACACGTAAGCGTGTAGCAGCCACTTGAGTCCGAGACCTATTCAATGGGGCACCCAGGTGTGAATCAAACAATAGCGCATCCTAGGCCGAATCCCCATCACTTGCTGGCAATACCACGGAGAATGCACCATTGGAATGCAGATCCATTGCCGTGTCTCTCCAGTCCACACCCCGAGCAACCAAACCCACTGGCCTGCTATGCCACCGTGGCTTCTGCATGGCCACGTCATTCCATCCTTCAGCTTCTCTTTGGGGCTCTCTGGGAAGAATGCTTCCAAATCCACTACCACTGCACATCTCCACACACAGCCTCCTTTTGAACGTGAACCACAGATCAACAATTCTTCTCTCACTTCTGCTGATCCTACTTCATCTGTGGACTCCATAGATTCTCCAGTAACGTTATACATCTTCTTCTTCTGGGTCAACCAGTAAGAGGTCACATTCCTCCAAACATCAAAATACATTTTCTTCAGCTATTATCTTGGCTTTCCAGACCCTCTTACAGACACTCTCTTCACTGGTCAGCAGCCTCGATCTGAAGCCTTCACTCCCACTACAGCTCCGGATCCTGACCCTTTACCTGCCGATCTGCACCCGCATCCGCCCTCTGTGACCTTCTTTGTCCAATGCAGACACACTTTGGTTGTCAGTGCAGGCTTGGATAATCCAGCAGACAATCAACCCACATTTGAACCCATACATAATCTCACCTGAGATAAGCAGTAAAACACGGTCCAGACACAATCTGATCTTCAAGATCCATCTTCCAGGGATTAAGAAATAGACTCCACTGCAAGTTTGTCTTTGACTACTCCGGAAAGACATGATTCGGGTCCTAGGTCTACCTGTCTTGTCACTGGTCAAAGAGGACTCTGAGTCATGCCCTTCCTTCAAACGTCACGCGGTTAGACTGGAAGCCTTGGCATTGGCTTTTCCAGAACTACCTCTACACTGCTTATGTGTGGAAATGAATAAAGCCCCTTCCAACACAAGACACTGGTGTACATACCAGGCTAGAGCTAAGGCCTACTTAAATTTCCCAGGAATGACCATCGACTTTCAGTCCATTCTACAGTAGTGCCGCTAAAGACGAAATTGCTTCCAACTCTGCTAAGTCTTCCAGCAAGAACCCCTTCCTCAACAAAGACAAGTCCAACCTGGAGCTTACCTTAACTTAGTCGGAAAGAGCTTCTCATCATGGTTTCCAACGTACTGCCTGTCTCTCACTCTTATTGAAGTACCTTCTTATGCATGTGAAGAAAATTTTCCTGTCTCTCCAGACCTTGCTGCAGTTGCTCTCAGGAATCTGGACAAGAACATGAACTCTACTGTCAAGCAATTCTTGCGGATTTCCTGCCTAGCTATGTCTTCCTGCCCAGCTAATGCTCTCAAGTCAATGAACATCTCATACAAGAGTGGGAAAGCTTAACTTCAAAGCCTCCCCTTATATTTGAAAGACTTATTTTGCAGGTAAGTTTATAGAGATGATGGAATCAGAGGCCAAGGGCATCAAAACAACTCACAAGCTCAGCTTCTGTGAACTTCCTTTGCCTCCTCCTCGCCAGCAGCTGGCTCCAGTTGCATAGCTCACCAGTCCAGACCTCTCCCTCCTCAATGCTTTGGGGACCACATACCTCTCGCTCTTTTCGTCCCCCTGTGCACCAGTCAAGTTCCGCACGGCCCAGAAAAGCTAGCATGATGTGAAGGTTGATGGGTTCTTCCAACATGCTGCAAGCATAATATCCCAAACATCCACACTTTGAAAAAGAACCCATGAAGTTGCTATGATCCTCATCTGATGGGCATGAACTTATGCCTGAGCTTGAACTTGAGTCTGTGCTGGTCGAAAATGAGGCTGAGCAGCATAACGCAATGGTCGCAGTTCCAGTGGGTCAGAAAGCCCCCAGACTGCCTGATGATTAGCCTGAGCTGCACAGAGCAACATTTGCGGTTCCAGGGGGTCAGCAGTTGCAGTTGATGCTTTATTCACCTGATCTGGCTTATTATGAGCCTGATTTGCATAGTGCAATGTTTGCAGCTTGCCTGGTATTGGAGAAACTGGGTGATCTGTGCATGGCTGATCTGATGTACACATACCAGGCTTAGACCCACTTGGCTGTTTTGGCAGAGGTGATGTTGTGAGGGGCAATATGGCTTCAACAATCTACCTTGCAATAGTTATCACTAAAGCTGGATAATGTGGATGAACTGTTGTGATGAACAGTTGTGTGGTATCACCTGGGAGCTCCTTGGTGCCAGCAATGTAAAACTTTAATATTCTCACAGGGCACAATAATTCATCCTCTTCAATACTTTAAAAGGATGTCAACTTAGGAATGAAAATACATAGAGGAGTAAAATATAGAGATTGGTTCATTAGAAATTGAACTCATGTACGTGACCAGTTCATTTCTGCCACATGCTGTGGAGAAAAGCCATTTTCACTGTCAAGTGATGAAGTGAAGAAAATATGCTGGTTCAAAAGGTGCTTTGGACAGTGCGTACTTCCCCAACTGCCGATTGATAACCTCTGCCAGTGGTACTTGCAGTCCAGAGTTGAAGAGATAAAGTACGAAAATCCCCAATGATGGTTTGAGACACAAAATTGGGATCGACAGCTTTCTGTGAAAACCATTCGAAGTACTGCTGTAGGCAATTGTCATAAGTTTCCTGCTTCTGGCTGCCAGGGCTGAAGTATCTTCTGAAAGGCCTGCTGCGCTAAAGGACAGCTTAACCACCTGCCACCGGGTTGCCGGTACCAGACACATATTCTTTATATGTGTGGCCGTGGTCTCCAAATTCGGACAAAGGTAACTGGGCCTTGTAACAAAGACCATACTCGTAACAAAAGACCAGGCTGGTGGGCATTATCAACATTTTTTCACTCTCAATAGTGAAGATAATCCACCCTTTTTTTGAAACAGTATACCACGGTTTAGGGTATTTAGCACAAGTGGATTACCACCGGGGACAAAAGCACTCCACCACTGCAGCAATGAGCCACACAGTACTGTTGCACGCTAATCTGGTCCCTGTTGGAAAGAGGTCAGCAGTG